CCCCAAAACCCCAAAACCCCAAAACCCCAAATGACAAATGGAGGATTGAAATGTATCTGGGTATCACCAAGCTTGTGATATCATCCCAAACTCCTTTCTTTTACAATAAAATACAAAGAAGAGCGTTATATAAAAATACAAACATATTCATGAAGAAAGACTGCCAGTAATTAGGTTTCAGTTCCACCAGAAGAAGCTCCTAGAGAAGGTATTATTAAAAAATTAAAAATTAAATTTCCATCTTTAGATGCGAGACGGCATCAGGTTTTGCTCTTTAATGTAAGTTACCATAAAAAGATTCTTTAGAGTGCCATATTGGTGTTGGAGCTGATTTTGCTCTCTTTCTGGGTGTTTTAGATGACTTATACTACTATTTTTACCTTTGTCTTTGCTAAAATATTAAATTTTTGATCAAAATATGTTGTATTTCTGTGGAAAATGTCATGGTAAATTAAGATTAAAACTTCACTTAAATAAATGAGACAGAAATTTGCAGAAGAAGGTTAGATGTAAGAAATTTAAAGAACTGACGAGGACGTCCTTTCTTTTTTGTGTGATTTTAAAGATAAAAATATTCTTTAACTAAAAATATCCAAGAATGATATTTTGATGCTTTAAGCCTGTTTCAAAACTCTCTAGAAGGCTGAAAGACCTGTAGATCAAAGAATAATATCCCTTCTTACAGTTTAACTATTTTCTCAAGAAAAATAGATAGAGAAGGGCATAAAATAAGTTAAGAGAAATCAAATGTACACAATTTGATTAGAAAGATGTCAAGATGTCGTGTATATCAAACTCTTGTCTCTTTAGCGATAAGATTAGATGAATAAGAATAGTGAGGGGTGCTAGAGTTATAGAAGGGATATGTTGTATCTTTACTGTAAAAATTTATTTTGAGAAGCGATGGTATCTATGATGGTACAAAAAAGTGTTATTTCATGCCTTAAAGCTTAAATGAAAAGCCAAAGGCTTGGAAACTGTAAGGAAAGAACCTCAACTAAGGTCATTAAGCGGTTCTGCATCAAATATTCCATAAAAAATTTCCAAACATCACAAAACAAAAGAACTCTTGATGAAATTTTACTAAAATTTTTATACTAATTAAGTCTCAATTTCTTCTTCCCTTGCAAATATCTTTGTATTTTTATTACCCTTCTAAATAGATCAGTGATCATATTGGCAATCATTCTTGTAAATATGCTATAAAGAGGCTAAAAAGAGACTGAAACTCTCTGAGATAGCATCATTAAGAGCAAGCCTGTTAATAAATTTTGATTAAGATATCCCTCCAAGTAAGTTTAGAAAATTGATAATTATCAAGAATTAATTACTAGTCTCCACACTTTAACGACTATCCTGATTACGACTTCGACCTATTTCAAGCTGAGCGTTGATACCTTCCTCCAGAGTTTGGACGATCTTTTGAATATAGAGCTTGTCTTGTTCGCAATCTCCCTTAACTATACTGCTGACCTCTATTTTTCCCTGCTGAACACCTTTGATGAAATTCCTCATAAGATATCTTATTTCTGGGATAAGTATGGCTTTCCGGAACTTTATCTCTGAATAATTCTGAAAAATGCTCTTCAGAAGCTCAATTATCTTCTTTAGAGCATTCAGCTTCTCTCTTGTTTCAGAGTTGTTGCTTTGAGTAATCATCAAGTTAATGATATCTTGGGAGTATTTTGGATAAAGGAACGAGCTAAGTAGAAATGGGAACTGAGGACTCTTATCCAAAAAGCCTCTTAATTTTCAATACTTCAGCATAGATAGTTTAAGTGATTCAGCTCTCTTAAACCTATTGTTTTCGGAAGAAATAAAGCTAGAGGCTTCAATAAATTGTTGCTTATAGTACCCTTTCATCTTTCTAAGGAAGAATTTGTAACAGACATCTTTTCTATAACGATATAGACTTCTGGTTGTTTTGATTTCCTCTGAGTTACTATCTTCAGTCTAAAACAAAGTTATACACCTAAATAAAGCGAGAGGCTTACCTTCTTCTCCAAACTGTTGCTCGCTTCTGATTGGTTCCTCTTTTCCATCTCCTGTTTGTACTTCCTTATATCAGTGTTTGAACAGAAGATTGTCCCTCTAGAGCTTATTTCAGGTATTTCCTGACCTCCTTTGATTTCTAAAGATTAGTTAGTATGCTCAAGTGAAGGAGGAATAATTTTATGCTTTCAAACTCCAAATTCTTTGCAAACTTTGAGTTAAAAAAAATTATTAATTAGATTTGCCAAAAATTAAGAAGAATCGTCCTAATATGTGCAAGTAGAAGGGTATCCTTATATCCTGATTTCTTATCTCTTTGGTAGAAGAGTGAGCTTACACTTTAAAAATTCTGAGCTGAATTAAAAAATTAAGAGATAGGAGCGATTCAAAGTAAACCAATTTAGCTTTATTAAAAACATATATCCATCTGAAAATGTTGTCCTTACTTAAACCTCCGAGATTTAGAGTCTCCATAGTTAATGCAATTTATTAATAATAAGACCAAGTCATAATTTATATATGATGTTTAAAAGTTGGTTTACATTACATTTCGGAAGTCACTATCTCACCTAGGGTTAGTAACCCATTATTCAGCAGAAAATGACCAGAATTAGATAATCCGAACTGATTTTTGGTGAAATTAAACTTTTTGCACCAAAATTTTCCTTTTATATAAGGTTTAAGAGCACTCATTACTCCTTAGAAAATTGAAAGACTCTTATTTAGCACTTTGAGAGAGGTCTTAAAGAAAAGACAGTAGGACATGAGGAATAAAGACTATTTTATCTTCAAGTTCGGACTTTGAAAATTATATAATTATTCAACAAATTTCTTATTCCAAGTTTGGAAAATTCATTAAAATTTACTGTAAAATTATTTCTAAAATATCAGCTATGAATTGGAATATTGAGGTGATTCAAAAATCCTTCACCTAAAATATCATTTGTAGGTGAATTGGAGGAAATATTCCACACCAGAAGTTGTTGTATAAGCTGAAGACGCTTTGAAATATCACCTTGTTGTATAACCATTTTGGACGAAAGATATCGACTTTTTCCAATTAAGAAGACAATTGAAACTATTGAAACCTAATAAAGCCAATAACCCTTGACATAATACCAGGAATTAAACAGGAAAAATGAGGAGATATAGAAGAGTGCTTATGATAGTCCTTCAATTAATATGAGATTGAAGATATTATCTATCCAGATAAGTGGACCAATTTATGCCATTGATTACCTTAAGATGATACATTAAAATTTTACTCACTACAAAGCTCAACTTTTAGAGAACAGTTAAAATTAATTTTTCTTAATATGTTTAGATTTGAAAATAGTGTTATTTTGAAATATAGCCTTCAGACTATTATTTTAAGTTTGAAATTAAAGAAATTTTTTCAGGTGCAAAATTCTAAGATAACAAACAACTCTGAATAGAATGGTTTTAAACGTACCTAAGACTTAAACTAATCATACCCTTAAAAAGCATAAAGTACAATTTATTTTAATCTCTTATGGACTCTTTAAGTAAGACTTATTCATCACTAAAGTATCTTGGTAGAAGCTTGTTCACTGAAGGTTTAGTCTCTAGATATTAACATAACTAGCACTGAGAAATCAAAAATTTGCATTAAAATTCTTTGAAAGTTTGGTGTAGGTTTATCCTTTCCCACCCTAATCCATCAATATCACAATCCTATTAAAGCGAGGACAGCATCAACCAAAATTGATAGGATACCATATAGAAGCTGTACATTGAGTGTCATTAAAACCTTCATTTAACTTGAAGTCAATAAAGAATTGGTTAAGACCAAAGCTTACATTCCTCATTCCACTCAAGAAGCTCTCCTTATTTTGCTCCTCCAATTTACTAGCCGAAGTTTAGAGAAGCGTCCTGATGGGTAGGTTTTGAGTCTAAAGAATATCTCCAACCAGATCCTTATTTTAAAGACTGCTTAGCTCGAGTTATCCAACTAATTTGATTTGTACTTGGCCATCCATTATCTTAAAGAATTCCTAAATCAAAAATTTTATTAGCCAGACTCAAGTTTGGCTTTTAAGGGATTCGAAAAACTATGAAATAATTACTGTATTTTGTTCTGGCCACCATTATCAGAAACTTTTATGATAATACCTAACATTTTTAATAGGCAAAAGTTGCTTGAGTGATGACCTCTGTTCCTAGGTTTAAAGTAAAAGACGGAAATCTGCTCTTTTCTCATAGTTAAGATTTCTCAGGATATTTATAATCTATTTAATTTGATCAAGGGTTCTTTGAAATTTTATCATTTGTCTAATGGACGCCGGAAAGAAAATATTATCACTAGATAATATTAGTTATTTTCTATTATCAATCCTTCTAATGATGCATAGGAGTAATAAACTAAAAATACTGAATTATAGCTAAAATAATCATACTCACTATTCTATTTGGTGTTCAAAATAAGTCCTCCTTATGATAAGAGAGCAATAAAAAAATTTAAACTGCTAAAAACTAATAGTCTAAACAAATCAATAAATTTCTTCACTAAAATCACTATACAATATCACCTAAAAAATTTACAAACACACAAAACTTTCTAATAAAGCCCCCATCTCAACCCCCAAAACCCCAAAACCATTTCCCCAAAACCCCATTACCCTTACCCCCATAAAAAAACCCTTAAAACCACTCCAAACTCCCCTACTCCACCTCCTTCCCTCACTTCTACCTCTCTTCCCTTATTTCAATCTCTTTCCCCTCAACCGGGGTTTTGGGGTTTTGGGGTTTTGGGGTTTTGGGG